AGGTGAGAGCTGGTGGGGGACCCTGGCGCATCCTCCTGGATAGAGTTAGGGTCTGATGGGTCTCTCTTAGATAGATCACCAGTAGAGGGATGGTTCCTGCTGGAGTTTTCCCAAGGGAAGCCCCATTTTTCCGCTCTGGGCACCCCCTTTCTATAATGAGACTCTGCCTATTCCTACATTCTCCACATGTGCATGAAAGTGTCAGCTCTCTTTTTTCTTCTTGGTCTGGTGTCCCCTAAAGACGCAAGGGACCCCGATTTCTATAGGCCGTGTGGGTTCTCTTTATTCTCATTAACACTGATGCACAACCTGTATCCAGGGGTGAGCTGGAGCCTGTTCTCAATGGTTCGCGCGAACCGGTTGTTAAATTTAGGAGCAGTTTTAGAACCGGTTGTTAGGGCTCCCTGAGCTCCCGGCCAGGGAGGCTCCCCCGGCCCCTCCGCCGCCTTCCCCCCTCTTGCAGGGCCTCAGCGTGCCATGCCACCGGCGCCAGCTCTCCGGACCGCTCCTGGGCAGCTCTGCAGCGCCTGCCACGTTGGGCAGCATGGGGGGAGGGCTGCGAGCTCCAGCAGGCCGCGCGGCATCCCGACACACTGCCCTGAGCAGCATGGTAAGGGGGCTGGGCTGGGCCTGGGAGGAGGGGTTGGATAAGGGGCAAGGAGCGGTTGGAGGGGGCGGAGGTTCTGGGGGGGCGGTCAGGGGTTGAGGAGCGGGGCGGGTTGGGTAGGCAGTCGCAGCCCCAGAAAGTCGCAGCCAGGCTGGGGCTCGGCTGGGGCAGCCCCCCAGGCCAAGGGGGCCCCGACTTGCGGCGCATGGTGTAGGGCTCAGTGCTTTAGAAGGGGGCTGTTGGAGACAGGGCCGGATCTAGGCACCAGCAAAACAAGCAGGTGCTTGGGGCGGCCCATTTCTAGGGGCGGCATTCCGGCCCCGGCCATGCTGCCCCTCGCAATGTGCCCCCGCCCCCTAGCTCGACCCCACCTGCTCCCCTGAGCGTGCCGCAGCCGCTCCGCTTCTCCCCCTCCCTCGCAGGCTTGCTGTGCGCCAAACAGCTGTTTGGTGCGGCAAGCCTGGGAGGGAGCGGGGAGAAGCGGAGCGGTGGCGCGGTCGGGGGAACAGGCGGAGCAGAGGTGAGCTAGGGCAGGGCGTTGCAGGGGGGAGCCATCAGAAGCAATGTGGGGGCGGGAATGTGGCACGCCCGGGGGAGGAGGCCGGGCTGGGGATTTGGGGAAGGGGTTGGGAAGGGGCAGAGCCAGGGGCGGGGAGCATGAAAAAAAAGTGGGGGTGACCAAAAATTTTTTTGCTTGGGGCGGCAAAAATCCTGGAGTCGGCCCTGGCTGGAGAAGGGGCTTGGTGTTAGAAGGGGGGTGCATGGAGCAGCACCGTTTGGGGGGCACGGGGCTATGGAAAGGCTGCAGGGCCCTGCGTCCTGTCTCGGGCAACCGCTGCGGGGCCCCGCGGGCAGAGGCTGATCCGATGCCGCCTCGCTCAGCAGCCGCGGCCGAGCTCCATGCTGCTTCCTGCCTGGTCCAGGAAGCATGACCGGCTGCGCTGGGCAGGGAGATCAGGCACCATGTGACTGGGCGCCGCGTAGGGCCAGGGAGCCAGGCCCTTGGCAGCAGCAGCCTCCTCTGCCCCAGGAGCCGGGCAGGGCCAGCTGGTGCCATGGCTGGGGGCTGCCTTAGATGTGCTGGGGCGAGCCCCCCCCAGTCTCTCCCACTCCTGCGCTGTGGGGCTGTCCAGCCTCTGCCGCTCGGGGGCACTCGCATCCCACGGTGGGGAGTTGGGCAGACGGCAGCCTTGCCTGCAGGGAGCCGCCGCCCCACATGCCAGGAGCGACCCCACTGATGCAAGGGCTGCAGGACTCCTGCGCCACCATAGAATCATAGAATAGAATCGTAGAATATCAGGGTTGGAAGGGACCTCAGGAGGTCATCTAGTCCAACCCCCTGCTCAAAGTAGGACCGATCCCCGACTAAATCATCCCAGCCAGGGCTTTGTCAAGCCCGACCTTAAAAACCTCAAAGGAAGGAAATTCCACCCCTCCCTAGGTAATGCATTCCAGTGCTTCACCACCCTCCTAGTGAAAAAGTTTTTCCTAATATCCAACCTAAACCTCCCCCACTACAACTTGAGGCACCTGGGATGGAGAAAGGGCCTGGGGAGGGCAGGGGGCAGGACAGAGCCTGGGGGGGGTTGGAGGGGGCAGGACAGAGCCTGGGAGACAGGATGGAGCCGGAGGGCGGGTGGGAGGGGGCAGGACAGAAATCAGAACTTTTTATCGGGAACCGGTTGTTAAGATTTTGGCAGTTCATCACTGGCTGCGTCCTATGGTTCAGGCACATGGTGGAGACAGATGCGCACCGACAGCAGTTTTTCAATTAAAATTAATCTTCCAGCTGATTTTTTCACAGTATCACCACTTGGTTCCTCTTTTCCCCTGACCTCAGGGCACCAGGTCATTCTTCGGTCACTTACTTCTGTCAGCACTTCTTAGCTCCAAGGCCTAAAGTAGCGAAGCTAAGATCTTGCAGCCTCAGCCTGCAGGCCTTGCGTTTCATCCCTACTCACTCAGCCTGGGTCGACGCTATGTGGTTAGGTCAAATTTAGCTGCGTTAGGTCTATTTAAAAATGACTGCGTCCACACAACCAAGCCCCTTCCGTCGATCAAAAGGGCTCTTAAAATCGACTTCTATAGTCCTTCCCGACGAGGGGAGAAGCACTAAAATCGACCTTGCTGGGTTGAATTTGGGGTAGTGCAGACGCAAATCGACGGTATTGGCCTCCGGGAGCTATCCCAGAGTGCTCCATTGTGACCGCTCTGGACAGCACTTTGAACTCCGATGCTGTCAAGGTTCCTTCCCCACTCTGAACTCTAGGATACAGATGTGGGGACCTGCATGAAAGACCCCCTAAGCTTATTCTTACCAGCTTAAGTTAAAAACTTCCCCAAGGTACAAACTTTGCCTTGTCCTTGAACCCTATGCTGCCACCACCAAGCGTGTTAAACAAAGAACAGGGAAAGAGCCCACTTGGAGACATCTTCCCCCAAAATATCCCCCCAAGCCCTACACCCCCTTTCCTGGGGAAGGCTTGACAAAAATCCTCACCAATTTGTACAGGTGAACACAGACCCAAACCCTTGGATCTTAAGAACAATAAAAAATCAATCACGTTCTTAAAAGAAGAATTTTAATTAAAGAAAAGATAAAAGAATCACCTCTGTAAAATCAGGATGGTAAATATCTTACAGGGTAATCAGATTCAAAACATAGAGAATCCCTCTAGGCAAAACCTTAAGTTACAAAAAGACACAAAAACAGGAATACACATTCCATCCAGCACAGCTATTTTACCAGCCATTAAACAAAAGAAAATCTAATGCATTTTCTAGCTAGATTACTTACTAACTTAACGGGAGTTGGAAGACTTACATTTCGGATTTGTTCCCGGCAAAAGCATCACACAGACAGACAGAACCCTTTGTTCCCCCACCCCTCCAGATTTGAAAGTATCTTGTCCCCTCGTTGGTCATTTTGGGTCAGGTGCCAGTGGGGTTACCTTAGCTTCTTAACCCTTTACAGGTGAAAGGGTTTTGCCTCTGGCCAGGAGGGATTTTATAGCACTGTATACAGAAAGGTGGTGACCCTTCCCTTTATATCTAGGACAGATGCACTAGCCAGGTACACAGGAAAAGCCCCGGGAACTTTTGAATTTCATTTCCTGTTTGGTCAGCGTGGGAACTTAGCAGCACTCAGCAGCACAGGTGACCATGCAGTCCCCCCAGAATCATAGAGCATAGAATGTTTGTACACTCCCCCATCATCTCCGTCCCTGAGGTTATCACAGATTAGAAGGCAAAAAAACCCTCACTCACGATGGCATGTTTTCCGAGCTCATGCAGTCCTCCCGCACTGATAGGGCACAGCTTCATGCCTGGAGGCATTCAGTGGCAGAGGCCAGGAAAGAATTAAGTGAGCGCAAAGAGAGGAGGTAGGACGCGATGCTGAGGCTAATGGGGGAGCAAACGGACATGATGAAGCATCTGTTGGAGCTACAGGAAAGCCATGAAGAGCATAGACTCCAGCTGCATCCACTGTATAACCGCCTACGCTCCCCCGCATGTTCCATAGCCTCCTCACCCAGATGCCCAAGAACGCGGGGGGAGGCTCCGGGCACCCAGCCACTCCACTCCAGAGGATGGCCCAAGCAACAGAAGGCTGTCATTCAGACAGTTTGATTTTTAGTGTGGCTACAATAAGCAATGTGGCCTTGTCCTTCCCTGCTCCCCCACTCCACTCAGGCTACCTTGTCCATTATCTCATTTTAAAAAAAAAATTAATAAAGAAAGAATGCATGGTTTCAAAACAATAGTTACTTTATTTCGAAGCAGGGAAGGTGGCTGGCTTACAGGGAATTAAAATCAACAAAGGGGGCAGGTTTGCATCAAGGAGAAACACACACAACTGTCACACCAAAGCCTGGCCAGTCATGAAACTGGTTTTCAAAGCCTCTCTGATGCGCAGCGTGCCTTGCTGTGCTTTTCTAATCGCCCTGGTGTCTGGCTGCTCAAAATCAGACACCAGGCAATTTGCCACAACCTCCCACCCCACATTAAACGTCTCCCCTTACTCTCACGGGTATTATGGAGCACACAGCAAGCAGCAATAACAGTGGGAATGTTGGTTGCACTGAGGTCTGACCAACAGCGCCAGCGAGCTTTTAAACATCCAAAGGCTCATTCTACCACCATTCTGCACTTGCTAAACTTATAGTTGAACTGCCCCTTAGTACTGTCCAGGCTTCATGAGCCGTGGGAGCAAGGGGTAGGCTGGGGTAGGTGCGACCGTGCGGTGCTGCTGGCTGGGAGAGCAGCCTGAGGCAGGAGCCTCCAGCTTGCAGGAGAGCAGAATTGCAGCAGAAGCAGTGGAGCCATACACCATGCCCTGGAGGTTGCTAGGAACCGGGCAGGGAAGACGTTCCCAGAACCCCGGCCAAGCTACATGTCCGACGAGGACGGCTACCAGTCCTACTGCACCATCTGCTGCAGAGTTGTAGGAGAGCAAGAGAGCAGGAGAGCAGAGTTGCAGCGGAAATGGTGGAGCCGTACAACATGGACAAGGATGGCTAGCAGTCCTACTGCACCGTCTCCTGCGAAGGCACCAGGAGCAGCTGCTGTGTAGCAATGCCAGCTGCTGCAGATGCTTCTGTGTCGAACGCTTGGAGGTCCTGGTAGGGCAAGGTACCTCGGCCAAGGCAAAAGAGCAGAGCCCTGGAGCTGTTACATGTGTCAACCACAGAAGTGCTATGGGGTGTTACAGCGCCGATCGGACTGGAATGTATGGCTGCAAGACTTCTTCACCAGCGACAAAGCACAGGAATATGATGCACCTAAAATCTAAAAAGGCCCGCACATTTCCCAGAGTCACTACCCTTGATAACGAAACATCAGTGATTGCATTGGCTACTTGGATCACAGCAGCCCTCACAATAGACTTGCCCACAACAGCAGCGGTGATGGTGAGCTGAGCGGGCTCCATGCTTGCCGTGGTATGGCGTCTGCACGGGTAACCCAGGAAAAAAGGCACGAAACGATTGTCTGCCGTGGCTTCCATGGAGAGAGGGGCGACTGACGACATGTACCCAAAAGCACCCGCGACAATGTTTTTGCCCCATCAGGCATTGGGAGCTTAACCCAGAGTTCCAATGGGCGGCGGAGACAGCGGGAACTGTGGGATAGCTACCCACAATGCACCGCTCTGTAAATCAATGATAGCCACGGGAGTGAGGACGCACTCCGCCGACATAATGCGCTTAGTGTGGACATACGCAATCGACTGTATAAAATTGAATTCTAAAAATCGACCTAATTTCGTAGTGTAGACATACGGATACCTAATACATACTTATCCCTTCCAACGACTGATCAGTCTGATACTTCTGTATGTAAGAGCAGCCACACTGGGTCAGACCAAAGGTCCATCTAGCCATAGGCACCGACTCTGTGGGCTGGAGCATCCACAGAGAAAAATTAGTGGGTGCTCTGCACCCACCGGCAGCCAAGCTCCCCCCGCCCCCACCCCATCCTCCTCCTCCTCCCCTGAGTGCGCCGCGCTCCCACTCTTCCACCCGCCTCCCAGTGCTTCCCACCCAGCTGCCGTCAAACAGCTGTTTGGCAGCATTAGCACGCTCTAGGAAGGAGGGAGAGGAGCAGGAATGTGGGGCGCTCAGGGGAAGAGGTGGAGCCGCGGCGGGGATTTGGGGAAGGAGTTGGAATATTGGCAGGGAGAGGGCAGAGTAGGGGTGGGGACTTTGGGGTGGGAAGAAGCAGGGGTGGAGCCTCATGGAAGGGGTAGAGGGAGGGCTGGGCCGGGGACAGAAGGGGGTCGAGCACCCATGGGAAAGCGGGGAAGTCGGCGCCTATGCCTCTAGCCCAGTATCCTGTCTTCTGACAGCGGTCAATGCCAGGTGCCCCAGATGGAATGAACAGAACAGGGAATCATCCAGTGATCCATCCCCTGTCGCCCATTTCCAGCTTCTGGCAAACAGAGGCTAGGGACACCATCCCTGCCCATCCTGGCTAATAGCCATTGATGGACCTCTTCTCCATGAACTTACCTAGTTCTTTTTTGAACCCTGTTATAATCTTGGCATTCACAACATCTTCTGGCAAGGAGTTCCACAGGTTGACTGTGCGCTGTATGAAAAAATACTTCCTTTGTTTGTTTTAAACCTGCTGCCTATTAATTTCATTGAGTGGCCCCTAGTTCTTGTGTTATGAGAAAGAGTAAATAACACTTCCTTATTTACTTTCTCCACACCAGTCATGATTTTATAGATCTCCATCGTATCCCCCTTTAGTTGCCTCTTTTCCAAGCTGAAAAGTCCCAGTCTTATTAATCTCTCCTCATACGGCAGCTGTTCCAGACTCCTCGTCATTTTTGTTGCCCTTTTCTGAACCTTTTCCAATTCCAATATATCTTTTTTGAGATGAGGCGACCACATCTGCACGCAGTATTCAAGGTGTGGGCGTGCCATGGATTTATATAGAGGCAATATGATATTTTCTGTCTTATCTCTCCCTGTCCTAATGATTCCCAGCATTCTGTTCGCTTTTTTGACTCCCGCTGCACATTGAGTGGATGTTTTCAGAGAACTGTCCACAACGACTCCAAGATCTCTTTCTTGAGTGGTAACAGCTAATTTAGACCCCATCATTTTATACGTATAGCTGGGATTATGTTTTCCAATGTGCATTACTTTGCATTTATCAACATTGAATTTCATCTGCCATTTTTGTTGCCCAGTCACCCTGTTTTGAGAGATCCTTTTGTAGCTCTTCGCAGTCTGCCTGGGACTTAACTATCTTGAGTAGTTTTGTATCATCTGCAAATTTTGCCACCTCACTGTTTACCCCTTTTCCCAGATCATTTATGAGTATGTTGAATAGGACTGGGCCCAGTACAGACCCCTGGGGACACCACTATTTACCTCTCTCCTACAACTGAACTCTATTTAGCATACAATGATTCTACATGACATGTTAATTAACCAGAACAGCACACAATAAATGAATGATAACCCTGTAGCCAATGATTTTAGTTTAAGGTGTGTGCGTTTGGCTTGCCAGCTGGGTCTCCTGCTGCGTTCTTAGGGGGGGAGAGCATCTCTGATCCCTGAGTGCGCCAGGCTAGGGTGTGGGTCTGTTCTAGGGCAGGGATGGGCCCGGGGTCTCTGGGATTTGGATTAGCAGGGGGCTCGTGTAGGGTGACCAGGTGTCCGGAACAAAAGGGACCCTGGCGGCTCTGGTCAGCACCACCGACTGGGCGGTTAAAAGTCTGGTTGGCGGCGCTGCGGCAGGCTAGTCTCTACCTGTCCTGGCACCGCGCTGTGCCCCAGAAGTGGCCAGCAGGTCCGTCTCCTAGGCGGCAGCTGCCCGAGGTAAACCCAGTCCCCAACCCTCTGCCCCAGCCCTGAGCCCCCCCAAACCCGGACTACCCTCCTGCACCCCAAACCTCGCACCCCCAGAGCCTGCATCCCCAGCCCAGAGCCCTCACCCCCCTGCAGCCTGCACCCCAACCTCTGCCCCAGCCCAGAGCCCCCTCCCACACCCTGAACCCCTTATCCCTGGCCCCAGCCCAGAGCCTTCACCCCCTCCCACACTCCAAATCCCTCGGCCCCACCCCCTAGCCTGGAGCCACGGGGAAGGGGCGGGGCTAGGCTGTCCGGGTTTCTGGGACTAGAAAACTGGCAACCCTAGGCTGGGGGGGCGGGATCTGTGGAGCTGCTGCTTTCCCTGGGCCGCAGGCTTCATTACTCTGATTTCTCTATTCCCCTGGCGCCAGGAGCCCAGGCACGGGCCGGCCCCGCTGCGCCCGGCGCTGCACACACACACACCACGGAGACGGTCCCTTTCCCGGGGGCTCCCGGAGACGAGACTCCAGCTGGAGCCGGGCTGCGGGGGGCGCGGTCGGGGCGCTGGCCGGGGTCTCCCCTGCGCACTGGGGGATGCTGGGAGATGTAGTTCTGCCCTTCCCACCGAGCAGGAACAAAGCCCCAGCAGCGAGCCGAGCTACAGCTCCCGGCTGCGGGCTCCAGAGCGCCCCGGGGCCGGTTCCTCTGCGCGCTGGCTCCCGGGGCCCAGCCCGTCTGCCGGGCCCACCGCTTCCCGCCCCGGCCCGCTGCCCGGCGCGGGGACCGACCGACCCCCGCCCCGCCGGGCAGCCGCCTCCCCCGGCCCGGCCCGGCCCGGCCCGGCCCCTGCGCCCTCCCGTGCGCCCAGGGCGCGCCGCGCTGGTCCTGCGCCGCCATTCGGGGCGCGTCGCGGCTGGGAGCGGAGCCGGCCGAAGGCAGCGGGCGGGCCATGCCGGCGCAGGTGGGGCTGGGGCTGGGGCTGGGGCTGGGGCTGGGCCGGGGGCGGCGGCTGGGCTCGCCCCGCGCCAGGGGACGTGGGGCTGGAGGGAGCCGAGCCCGGGATGCGGGGAGCGGGTGAGCCCGGCGCCCTGTGCGCGCTCGGCCCCCAGCCCGGCCCGTGGATGGTCCCTGGCGTGGCCGGCGGCCCCGGCACCTCTCGCCCTGCCTCGATTGGTCGGTCCCCAGCCCCGGGCGGTCACGCCGCGGCCGGGCGAGAATCAGGCCCTGGGCCTGACCTGGCTGCTTTGCTTGTCCCTGCCCGGGAGCAGCTGGCAGGCTTGTTATCGTCGGGTAGCGTGGAAGCGCTGGGGCTGTGGGAGCCGCGGCAGGTGTGAATATCGGGCCCCACCCTTGTCTTTAGGGGGAGGGTCCCCCTCTGCCTGCAGGGCTAGCCCAGCCTGGCGGGGTCTCCCTGGGAGTGGAGCGAGGAGCCGCCTGAGAAAGTCTCACCTCCAGGGGCCTTCTGGCAACCACAAGGCAAAATACAAAGGGCAGACGCTGGTGCCAGGGGTCGGATCCCATGGCACAACTCAGGGCAGCCCCAGAGCTGCTCCTCTGGGATCCTGCCTGGCCAGACACAGAGGGAGGGAGCCAGACCCGCTAACAGATGAGCAGGCTCTCCGGGGAGACACCCCCCTGCAGAGGCACCTGCCCCTCCTCAGGGGTGGGTCTGCAGCAGCAGGAAGAGGTGTTTGGTCTGGAGGTGCTCCTCGTGCATCAGTGTAAATTCAGGGGACCCACAGTCCTATCCCCCTTCCCCGCTCCGGGTTGGTCCCAGTCCTTGGGAATTCCATGCATTGGGGCATGGTGCCAGGACTAGGGGCTTGTTAGCCTGACTAGCCTGTGTGAAAGAGGCTAATATAAAATGAAGCAGAAGCCTGCACTTAGGTCAAAATGCCCCCCACAGCCCTGCCGTCCCTGGGAGCTTGGCCGGACCCAGGCGCCAAGCTGGGATCATCGTTATTCTAACATACGCTGTAAGTCGTGAGAGGTTAGATACGCGCCTGGGGTAGCCTGCGCGTGTCTAACCCCTGCTTCTGCCTGGCTGGACTGGAGCCCACGGTGCTGAGTGGGGCACGGTTGCATTGCAGGTGCCGGTGACGTTCGAGGACGTGGCGGTCTATTTCTCCCCGGAGGAGTGGGCGGCGTTAGCAGAATGGCAGAGGGAGCTGTACCGGGACGTGATGATGGAGAATTACGAGCTGGTGGCATCTTTGGGTGAGGATCCCTTTATTAGCAGGAGCAGCAGCATCTTGGGCACCCCAAGATCTCACGTTCCCTGGGGACCCTGGCCCTGATGTACGTGGGGAATGCCTGGCGTGTGGCTGAACATCGGAGACTTCCCCCCGACGAGGGGCTGCAGGGCCGTGCTCCGTGGCCTGGGTCCAGGGCGCTGTGTGTCTGGCAGTAGATCCATCGCTTTCAGCCCCCGTTTGTTGGTGCCATCCCAGCAGAGGTATGCTGATGGCCGGGGCTGCCTCCTAATGGAGGACACGTCCCCCCACCCTCCGGCATTAGGGTGCATAGCCTCCCTGTCGGTGCTTAACGGGTCACGAAAGACACGTTGGCGCTGAGCCCCAGCACTAATGAAGCACTGGCTGGGCGGCCGGAGGGTGGCTGCTGGCCCGACGCCCAGCTCGGAAGGTGGCATGGGGTGCGATATCGCCACCCTGACTTCTGCGCGGCCACTGGCAGCGGCGCTGCCTTCAGGGCTGGGCGGCTGCAGAGAGGCAGCTGCTGCCTGGGAGCCAAAGGTGCCAGGGCGATGAACTGCCAAGCCTGGAGGTGCTGGGGCCCGGCTTGCTGTCCCATTGGACCCAGCTCCTGGAGTCTCAGGATCAGCTACTCAGAACTGTTCACAGTGATCCAGGTCCCTGTGACCTCACGGCTGGGTTACTGCCAAGCTGCCTCCGTGCAGTTCCCAGGGGCTCGAGCTGGTGAAGGACGCAGTAGCAGCGGATGTGGGCACGTACCCTGTGCCCTGCACCAGCTGCCTATTGACTCCCAAGTGCAATCAAAGGGGCTGGGTGCTGTCTGTGGGCGCTAGATGGCCTGGGACCCAGCTGTCTGAAAGGCAGCCAGTATCCTATCACAGGAACTTCCAGCCTGGGGGCTCCTCGCAAGAGAAATTCCTGTTGCAGTGGCTGGCACAGTGAGTCCTTCTCTTGCCCATGAACAGGCTCCGTGGGCCCCAAGCCCAAGGCATCAGCTAGAAAAGCAAAGCGAGAGAAGGCGCCATATGTCTGGGACCACCAGTACTCAAGAGCGAAAATCCTGATGCTTCCAGCACAGGGGAACGACACCCCTAACCAGGTGAGACCTGCTCCGGTAAGGAGAGCGAAGTGCTGGAAACTCAGAGGCTCTGAGCAAGAGGGGACTAAGGGAAAGGCCCCAGAGCTGGCCAAGGCATGGGGCATCGGAGAGAGATGCCACGGTGTCAGCTAGGTTTTAGGCCTTTGGGTAGCGGAAAACTTTTTTTAACAGCAGCAGGCAGCCTAATGCCCCATCAGTGCCTGTGGCTTCCTGTCTCCGAAGGGCTTCCCCGATTTCTGCTTTATGAGCACCGTTAATTGCTGGCTCATAAGCATGTAAGCCTGAGTCTCCCGGTATCCGGGCTGTTCCCGCTCTGCTCTGGCGGCCGGGCCTGTGGTGCTGGACGGGCTCTGGTGCAGGCTGGGCCCTGCGTTCTGTGCCAAGGCGTGGGCAGCGAATTGGGGACGTGCTGAGCCCGCGCTGCTTGTTAGGAGAGGGTGATCCCCAGGGGGAAAGGCTAGTGGGAAGTGCCGCGTGCCGTGGACTCTCTGGCTGTGGAGGGCGGGCACCGCTCTGATTCTCTGCCCATTTGCAGGGACATTGCAGGAGACGTGGGGCGCTTGCTGGCATCCTGCTCTGGGGGAGGAGGAATTCAGGTCTCTCCCTGCCCAAGAGCCCTCAGGCTCCAGCTCTTAAAGCAGCAGCCTCCCTAAGGTGACTTTCCCTCCTTTAGCAACTGGCTAAGACGGCTCAGGGCCTTTTCCTTCCAGGCGGCCAGCTGCCCTGCCACAGGGGGTGAGAACAGAGGGTCGCTGCGTGCAGCGGCCTGGGGAGTGGCTTAGCAGGGCTAATCTGTGCTGCAGGAGCCGGCGACCTTCGAGGAGGTGGCGGTCTATCTCACCACCGAGGAGTGGAAGGAGCTGAAGGACTGGCAGCGGGAGCTGTATCAGGACGTGATGAAGGAGAATTATGAGCTGGTCACGTCTGTGGGTAAAGATCCCGTTATTGGGGCAGTGGCCCGGCCTGTTACCCCGGGCCGGCTTCATAGCTTGCTCTCCTGGAACGTGGGCAGAACGTGCCCCGATTATTCTTAATTAGGCAGGGGGACTTGGTGGCTTCCTAAGCCAGGTGTGTCATAAACACACCAGCCCCGACAGAAGGCAGCCAGCGTGCGCGTTCGACTCCTGTCGGTGGGCTGGCTAGCTGAGCCATTTGACAGGCACGTAACAAACCTTGCCTTCCATCGAACAGGAGGCACCGTGGTGAAACCGGAGATTGTCTCTAGGCTAGAGCGTGGGGAAGAGCCATACAACCCCAGAGAGACACATGTTCCTGGTCCCCACGTCATGGGTGAGTGAGGCCAGCAAAGCTCCTAGAGTCGGGGTCCCTGTGCCGGCTCCTGGCACGTGGCACTTGGTTGTGTTGGACACAGTGGTGCCCAGTTCATGAATGTTTCCGGCCCTGCCAGTGCGGTGCCCGGCGCTGAGGAGGGCATGGGCCTGAGCTTCAAGCAGCGGGTCAGTCGGTGCGTTTGTCATTGCCAGGGCAGACCCCACAGGATCCCTCTGCCCCCTCCTGCCAGTGCCAGCAGGGGGGACCATTCCTGTGGGAGGTACAGACAGAATTGGGAGGAGTTTCCCTCTCTCCAGCAGGCACCGTCAGGCTGAGACCGTCATTGCAAGGCGGGCAGAGGCTGGAGCCTGCAAGCCCTGGGGAGTTCCCAGTGGGGCAGGCCCGGGGGAAGTCTGGCTAGCAGGGACACAACAGGACCTTCCCTTGGTAAATAGCGGGTGTGGGTGAGACACACCTGAGGGCAGGGGCGGCGCATGAGGGAGGATCCAGGGGCAGGCTGTGGACTGGCAGCGCTGTAAACACTCGTCCCGGAGGAGTTTCCACAGGAGTATGTCCCACAGAGAGGCCCTGGGGGCCGTAGCTGTGCCCCCAGGCTTGGCTTTACCCCCAAAACCCCCCAGCTCACCGGCACATGGAATAACGCCTGGACGCTCCTCTCCCGGCAGGTGGTGGGACCCGGGGGACTGATGAGGAGGGGATGCGTCGTGAGGAAGAGCCGGCAGAGCTGGACCCGAGCGAGACGCTAACGGAGCGAGACGCAGCGAGAGTTTCCCTGGGCTCGGCCGGGACCGGAGCCAGCGCGAGGCCTGGGGGGAACGGACACGATGAACCCCCGTGGGGTGAGAGGCGGGTCAGGGACTCCCCAGCCAGCGCTGAGCCCCAGAGCAACGGGGCCCCAGAAAGACTCCGCCCAGCGCCCGAGAGTCAGGGGGCAGCCTGGGGACGGGAGCCGTGACTGTAACCCCCAGCACAGCGGGGCCGTGTGGGGGGAGCCCTGGGCAGCGGGGGAAGCCAACAGAGGAGCACGCCGCCCCCGGGGGCGGGAGGCCCTACAAGTGTGGGGAGTGTGGGAAGGGCTTTGGCAGCCAGGCCTCCCTAGCCAAGCACGGGTGGCAGCATGCCGGGGCGGGCGCCTTTCCCTGCAGCCAGTGCGGCAAAGCCTTCAGCAGCAAGGGCAACCTCCTGCGGCATCTTACGCTGCACAGCGGGGAGAAGCCCTTCGGCTGCGCCGAATGCGGGCGCCGCTTCCGCACCAAGCAGGCCTCCCTGTCGCACCGGCGCGTGCACAGCGGGGAGAAGCCCTTCGCCTGCCGCCAGTGCGGGCGGAGCTTCACGCGCAAGGAGAACCTCCTGCGCCACCAGGAGACCCACGTGCACAGAGAGCCCCAGGCTTGCCCCGAGTGCGGCAAGAGCTTCCTGCACGCGGGCTCACTGCTCCTGCACCGCCGCGCCCACGCCGGGGCCCGGCCCTTCCCCTGCGCCCACTGTGGCAAGAGCTTCAACTGGAAGACGAACCTCACCGCCCACCTGCGCAGCCATGCCGAGGAGCAGCCCTCCGCCGGCCGCCAGCGCGGCCAGGCTTCCAGCGACCGCGGAGATCTGCTGCGGCACCAGAGGGCCCACGCGGGCGGCGGGCTGCCGACGGGCTACGGCCACGGGGCGACCTTCAGCGAGTTCCTCCAGATCCACGAGATGCTGATCTCCCGCACGCATGCCCGCAAGCCCCTGGGCGCCCTCACCAAGTACAAATGAAACCTGGCTGCAGGGCCTGGGCAGCTCTGCCAGCGCGGGGCAGGGGAGGACGCCCAGCCCCGTCTCCCAGCACGTGGCCGGGTAGAGGACCCTGCCAATGCAGGTACGCCAGCGGGGTTACGGCCCGGCCAGGGAGCGCAGCCCTGGTGCGGGGAGTGCTCTCCGGAGCTCTGGCTCCTCGCTGCAGGCTCTTCCCCCAGGATTTTCCTTTGGATGGTGGCTGGTTCCCATCCAGCGCGTTCCAGCTGCTGCTGCCAGCTGTGGGGTGGCTGCTGCCCCCTGGGGTGCACTGGTGCCATTGTTTAGGCCCGACGGCTGGTGATGAAGTCCTGCAGCACGTTCACAGTCAGGGCTGCTCTCCGAGCTCTGATGTTGCCGCCCCTTGCAGGAGAGGCTGCTCGGACGTGTCCCGATAGCCAATAGCTAGCAGAGAAGAGCAGGGCCTAGGAGAAATCTTCCGGGTCAGCCCCAGGTAGCACGCGTGGCTCCGGTGCGCTGGCCAAGGGGGCCCGAGTGGCAGATCTCGCTGCAGCAAGGCCCACGTCCGGGAGAAAAGGCAGCATCGCAGAGGAGGCGCAGACTGCAGCTTGCTCACTCCAGGGAGAGGTTTCAGGGGAGTGCATGGTGACAGCAGGCTGGGTTAGCCTGGGGCTGGAGAACCAGAGAGTCTGTCCAGCAGCCTCAGTCCGGAGTCTCCGCAGTACGTGGGCTGCCGAGAGCAGCCTGGCTCACTGGTAAAGGGCCTGTAGCCGCACTGGTGAAGCCTGGCTAGAGGCGCCGTTGACCAGTCTCAGGTCTCGTTAATCAGCCAGGATCGACTCACCGGTGGGTGCCTGTGAATCCCAGCTGCCCGCTGGGATGTCTTAGCCGCATTGCTAGCCTTGCCCATCCAGCCTAAGGTCCCACCATTCCGATTACCCTCTTGCCTTGTATAGAGCCATCGAAATGCTGGGCTGGAAGGGACCTCAAGAGGTCCCTGAGTCCAGACCCGAGCGCTGAGGCAGGACCAAGAAAACCCAGCCTGGTCCTGACAGGTGTTTGTCCAACGGGTTCTTAAAAATCTCCAGTGATGGGGACTCCATGACCTCCCTGGGTGGGAGCCTGTGCCAGAGCTTTGCTGCTCTGGGAGTTTCTGCTACTATCTAACCAAAATCACCCTCCTGTTCCCCACTTCCCTTTGAAGCTGGCTTTATCTGCAGCTCTCTCGGCCTGGCTAGAGCCTGAGCCATTGTTGGCTCCCCTCTGAAGTCGGGGAACACCACGTTTCGCAGGGTCTCGCTGTGTGCCCCTCTGGGCTGGTTTGGCGGCTCCAAGGATGCTGGAGTTCCAGTGGGCGAGGAGGGAGGGCCGAGGCGTGTTCTCAGCACGAACGGGGTCCTGTTTAAAGAACATTTTCTTGACTAGGCCTAAATCACCAGCTCGGGTGAGGAACGTGCCACCTTCACGCAGGCTGACCGAGCAGTGTATGCAGTGAAATTCTCCGCGCGGTGCGGAAATACACCCTCTCCCGCTGTCAGACCAAGTGTCCAATAAACCAGTCCAGTTGTCGCTCGCTGCCGCTGAGGTGTAGCTAGCATTTTTGTGAAACGGGCGAGTCCCCTGGGGGCGCAGGAGAACTTGGTGCAACACGGGCCGTGAGCCGGTTGTGTTGGGCATGAAGCTTTTCTGGGTTCTCCACCTCCCAGGCAAGTGTCAATCGGCTTTCCTCCAGTTCGTGCTGTATTTCCGTTGGGCTGAGCCCCTACCCAGGCCGCTCCCTGCATCCCCGGCGTGACCCACCCCTCCCTGGGAGCTCTGTGCGTCTCTGCTGTCCTGGGGTGATGGTACAGAGTTGCCGAAAGAACGGCTTTCCAGCAGCAGGGGCCAGGGAACTGTCTGAGAAAGGGCTCTCCGCACGGCCAGTGACTCAGCCTTCCAAGGATGGTGAAGCAGGGGATGCAGATGTGCGCTGCCTGCTCACTAACCCGGGCTCCCTGGCTGCCCAAGCCTTTATTTCCCCTGCCCCGTTACGCCTGCAGGGCTGGGCGAGAGAGAGAGCCGGGCTCTGGCCCCGTGAGCCCTGCAGGGCCGGTGGTGCCGGGGGGTAAGGGCGGGTCTGTCCCTGGGGGAGCCCTGTGGGGCCAGGCCAGCTAAGGGAGGGGAGCCGGGTCTGTCACTGGCGAGCCCTGCAGGTCTGGGCTCGCTAAGGGAGGGGATCCTGGGGAGCCCTGTGGGGCTAGACTGGCTAAGGGAGGGGGAGCTGGGGTCTGTTCCAGGGAGCCCCGTGGGGCTGGGCCGGCTAAGGGAGGGGAGCGGGGTCTGTCACTGGCAAGCCCTGCGGGGCAGGGCTGGCTAAGGGAGGGGATCCCAGGGAGCCCTGCGGGGCTGGACCGGCTAAGGGAGGGGGGACCCTGGGGAGCCCCGTGGGGCCGGCCCGGCTGAGGGGGGGGACCCGGGGTCTTTGCACCCGCAGCAGGTTCGGTGGCCGGGGTCCCGGCTTGTGCCCAAAGCCCCCGGCCAGGGCCGAGTTTGGGGACCCCGGACCGGGCCGGGGCAGAGCCGAGCCCCGCTGCAGCCGCGGGCCGGGTGGAGGGAACCGGCTCGTCGGCGCCGGGCCCGGGCTGCTCCTCCCCAGCGCTGGGCCGGGCGGTGTGAGCGGCTCCTCCCCCGTCCCCGCCCGCCTTCTTCCGGCCCCAGCCCCGGCCCCGGCCCCGGCCTAGCCCGGCGGAGGAAGCGCGGCGGTGCCGCGGGAGGCTCCGGCGAGCCCAGCCGAGCGGCGCGCAGAGCCCCGGGCCGCGCAGGGGGCATGGCCGCTGGGAGCGCTGCTCAGGTAGGCTCGGCTCGGCTCGGCTCGGCTCGGTTCCGCGCGGCTCGGCTCGGCTCGGCTCGGTTCCGCGCGGCTCGGCTCGGCTCGGGCAGCGCCGGTGGGCTCGGGGCGCCTGCTGGCGGGGGGCTCCCCTGCGGCACCTTCCCCTCCCCGCCCGGCTGCGGGGCCGGGGCCAGCGGCCAGGGACCGTTAGATCATCTAGTCCGAGCTCGGGTGCATCCCCTGGACACATCCCGGCGGGCCCGGCACAGCCGGTGCCCCCAGGGGCCGGGGCCAGGCTGCTGCCCCCAGCGCCCTTTTCCAGTGCCGGGGGCCGGGCCGGCGCCTGGGAGCCGCATCTCTGAGCCTCTGCCGGGTGAGCGCAGCGGGACTCCCGGAAATCGCCCCCCCGCAGGCTCCCAGCCCTTGAAGGCTGGGCCAGGCTCTGGAGCTGCTGGAGGGGCAGGAAACGGTGCTGCAGACAGGGAGCCCCCCGGCATAGCCCCAGCCCTGGGCTACGGCCGCAGAAGGGGACGGTCCGTCAGGGCAGGAACGGGCGCAGCTCCGGCGACGGACCCGTTCTTCCATCCCCCCGGGGCGGGCTGGGGCGCGCAGGGGGTGTGGTGGCCTTTTCGCCCCCGACAGAGGTAGTCCCGTCAACCTGCCTTTTAAGGGTAGAGCCTTTGGGTGCCCAGCTGCTGGAGTCCCCTGGGGCCTCCAGGGTCGGGACACCCAGCCCTGCTCCCAGAACCCCCTGGACGTGGCGGCCACGGTCGGTTCGGATTGCGCATCGTGGGAAGCTCGGCACATTGCGCTGCACGACTCGTCACGGATAACGAAGGGATCCCACTGGCCGAGCTCGGAACGTCCCGAGTTCTCGGGGCTCTGCCTCTTCCCGGGGACCCGCGAATGTTCTTAAAACCGATTTGTTGTGGCCGCTGCGTCTTTAGGATGCACAAGGGAGGTTTGGACGTTGTCGTGCTGCTTGTTTGTGTATTGGAACGAGGGGCTGGTCGCCCTGGGAGCCTCTGGCTGACCGGAGAGCGCCCTGAATGACTGTCCGTGTGGGGTGAGCGGAGTGTAATCAACCAGACAGACCTGCTAGACTGGGCATGAGAGGTGCCCTGCAAGTGAAGCCCGGCTAACGAAGGGGGGCAGTGACTGTTTAAAATGCGAGGGAGTCTGTTTCTTTGTGGTGGCACCTGTTTAACTCCAATGCCCAAGGAAGACTGGAGAGAAAAGCTCTCTGAGCTAAAGTTTGGCTCATCACCACCTGCCCTTCCAGGAGAGGCCACGTTTCTCAGTCCACCCAAAGATCAGGGAAGAGGAGACTTGATATTCCTGATGTAGCTGTAAGGTAAAAAACAAGCAGACTCCCACCACAGTCCTGTTCTGTTCTGGTCTCTCTGGCCGTTATGCATCATGAGAAAGGGCAGAAGTCCAATGTTTTCGGCTTTGCAGATCACCTTTAAGTTTAGTCCAAACGAGCCTGCTGCAAACTGGCTCCCCTGGGATCTCTCCCTCCTCTGCAGCTGCATGTTCTCATCGAGACACCGGCCAGGTGGGTCTGTGTGCTGGCTGGGTAGGTCTGAGTGCCAGCTGGGTAGATCAGGGGCTACTCTCAGCCTGGCACAGACCAGGGCTGGATGCGGTAATTGGCAGTATTACGGTGACACCCTAATGACCCTAGATTAGGGTCCCATTGTGGTGGGCTCTGGATATACCCAGAGTCAGAGACAGCCCCTGCCCTGTGGTGCTTACAGGCAAATCTAAATAACACAGATAAAGGTAGGGAGGAGGTAAGTGTTAACCTCCCATCTGGCCACTGGAGATACTAAGTGATGTATCCAGGGTCACACAGGGAGTCTGTGGCAGAACCAGGAACTGCCCCAGGTCCCCTGAGCGCCGGCCCACCACTGTGCCCACTACACCAGTCTTCCTGAGCAGTCGCCCCACCCCGCATAGGACAAGCTCGGGACACCCCCAGGCTTGAAGCCACGTGGGACTGGTCAGCAGAAGATCAGAGGCAAAACCTGTCTCGGACAAGGTAAAGGAAGGTGACCCAACCGGCCATGGGGCCCTAGGCTGGGCGGTGAGTGGGGCAGCTTGGAGGATGTGACCATGAGGAAGGTGGATAAAGATGCCACTGAATCAGTAGGTCCTGAATGGGGACCCTTCTTGTGTTTCAGGCCCTGGTGTCATTCGAGGACGTGGCGGTCTATTTCTCCCCAGAGGAGTGGGCGGTGTTAGATGAATGGCAGCAGGAGCTGTACCGGGAGGTGATGATGGAGAATTACGAGCTCATCGCCTCGCTGGGTAAGACTCAGGCCCTGTTAGAGTCTGTGAAAGGCCCTGGCCAGTGCCAAAGTTGGAATGGGATGAAATCCACCCTGAGGGAGACCCTCTAGCCCACAGGAGCCAGCCGGAGCTCGCACCTCTCGGGCAGCGAGCTCGCTCTGTGCATGGTCCAGACACGGCCCAGTCCCACGGTAGCCCTTTTCAAGGGAACATTGAAATCCTGCAGGGCATCCAAATGTCTCTTCAGAAGAGCCTGGGAAACTGGCTGAACCGTTCCGCCTGGGACCATGTCCCCTCCACGGGGCCCAGGGGCTGCAGGTACCTGCCCATCCCTCGGCAGCTGCCTCTCCCAGCAGGGATGAGGAATTCCAGCCTGCTCCAGGTACCGGTGGGCTGCACCTCGCAGGGGCGGTGCCCGTCCACACACTGCTGTTACGTATGGACGCAGCCCTGCGGGAGCTGGGCTCACCCCAGGCAGTAGCCCCCCATGTGTCCCTGCCCCAAGAGGTTTGCAGTTGGAACGAAGAGCCCCTGTGACAGCATCTCCCACTCACATCCGATGCGTTTGCAAATCACCTCTTTCTGCGGCGGACACAGGAAACCCAGACTGTGGGTCTCTCCCCGTGCCCAGGTTCTGCAGGCCCCAAACCGGAAATGATCTGTAAAATGGAGCGAGGGGAAGAGCCACACGCTGCAGCTCCCCAGGGGGAGAGGGACAGAGGAATCCTGGATGCCCCCAGCACAGGTGAGCGGCACCGATTCCCCTTTCCTGCAAACTGCTCAGAGACAAAAGAGCAGAAACTTGGTGCGACGTTCAGTCCCTGTCCCAGGTGGAGATGAGCAGAGGGGGACTCAGGCTGCGCTGGCCAATCAGTATCCCCAAGAGACGTTCGTGCAGCAGTGGCCTGGGTGCAGCCCCTCTGCTAGGGCCAAGACGGGGCTGGGGGTAGAACTGCTTGTGCCAGCTCTCTGCTCCTCACGGCAGCTGTCTGCCCGCTCTGCGCTGCTAAGGGGCATCCCAGCCTCCGGCCCCCGATCTCCCTGGGCTCCTTGCTCTGCAATGAGATCCGCGGCAAGGCCGTTCCTGCAGGGAGATAGGGCACATGGTGCGGGAGCTCATCGGTCTACCATTCGTTCCTCCCGCCCTGCGGGCCAGTCCCGGTCGTGTTCCCGCCCGACGGGGACGCCAGCCTGTGCCCAGGATCTCTGCCCGCATTGGCTGCACAGCGGGCACCGGCAGAGACATGGTGTCTCTACGGCCTGGCCCCTCCCAGCCTCATTCCACGGCGCGCCGTGGGGGCAGAGGTGTGGCTCGAGGCGCTGGGTGGGCCCGGGGCTGGTGGGAATGGGCAAAGGTGTGTGGCTCTGTGGCACCAGCGGAGCATCCGGCCTCCTCCCGAGGCCCCTTCCCAGCGTGTAACTGCTTGGCTTGGTCTGTCCAACAGCTGGCTGGGGCAGGCGTGTCAAGGAGGAGCGGTCGGCGGAGGGCTGCAACGAGCAGTGGGTGGCGCCCACCTCGCTGGCCGGGGGAGCCGAGGGGTTTGTGCTGGAATATCCTGCCCTGTGGTGCGAGGTGAAGCCGAGGGAGCTGGCCGGAGACGCCCCCCAGCAGTCCCCGGAGTGGGAGGGAAGGGACGGCGCGTTCCTGAGCGGCCCGTTGGCCATGATCCACCCGGCGAGCGAGGGCCCCCTCATCTGCTGCGAGTGCGGGAAGAGCTTTGATGACGAGGCCTCGCTGAGCGCCCACCAGCGCCTGCACCCGGGCGCCGGGCCCCACGAGTGCCGGGCCTGCGGGAAGAGCTTCCGCCACCGCCGCAACCTGCTGACCCACAAGAAGCGGCGGGGCACGAGCCGGCACGCGTGCACCGAGTGCGGGAAGGGCTTCTGCCTCAAGGGCGACCTGCTGCGGCACCGGGCGGGGCACGCGGGCGAGGGCGGCCACGCCTGCAGCCTGTGCGGGGAGAGCTTCCGCCACCGGAGGAACCTGCTGGCCCACAGGAAGGAGCACGCCGGGGACACGCCCCACCGGTGCCCCGAGTGCGGGCAGAGCTTCGGCGACCCGGCCAGCCTGGCCCAGCACGAGGCGGCGCACCGCGAGGAGAGGCCCTTCGTGTGCGCCCGCTGCGAGCGCAGCTTCAGCTGGAAGGAGAGCCTGCTGATCCACCAGCGGAGCCACCCGCAGGAACGCTCCCACAAGTGCGCCGACTGCGGCCGCAGCTTCAGCCGCAATGGCAACCTCCTCATGCACCAGCGGGTGCACACCGGGGAGCGGCCCTACGCCTGCCCCGAGTGCGACCGCGCCTTCTGCAACAAGGCCAACCTCATGGCCCACCGGAAGCTGCACCGGCGGTTCAAGCCGTACGCCTGCGCCCACTGCGGGAGGAGCTTCAGCTTCAAGACCAAGCTGCTCCTCCATCAGAGGGCCCACGGGGACGAGCAGTAGCCCCCTGCCGCTCTGGCTGCTGGAGGCTGCAGCCGGGCCTGGCAGGCTGCCTGGCTCTGGTGTTGCTAAGGACCGGGGCTGAAACTCCCCCCGGGCAGAGGGCTGGGGCGAGGCCTAGGTGTTGCCTCAGCCTGGGGGTCCCCTGGGCCATGGAGCAAGACCCCCGCCTTTGCGGGGAAGCTCTGCTGTCTTGCAGAGGCCTGGTTAGGTCACTCTGGGGGGGTTCTGCCGTTGCTAAGGGTAGGGGGTGAAATTCACCCCAGGGCTGAGGGCTGGCGCGCATGCGGGACTCAAGCGGTGCCAAGGCCTTGCCAGCCAGCCCTCTCCCCGGGGGAATTTCACTGGTCGTCAATATACTGCCGTGTGTCCTCATTGTAAGGCATCAGACTCACCCTGGGCCTGGCTGCCCTGAGAGCTACATCCCCCTCCTCAAATGGCAGTTCCCCGGCCCGCCAATGGGCGTCCTGAGCCCCCCATAGTTACCTAACCCACCCATAGGCGGTGGTGGTCTTAGAGAGTCATAGCAGCGAAGGCCAGAAGAGATTGTTCTGACCATCCGGTCGGGCCTCCTGCTTCACCCAGGGCAGAGAATCTCACGCTGGGTCTCCTGCAGCCCCCTAAGAAGGACCATTGGGCAGTTTCTGAGAGAGGTCAGGGCACTAGCCGAAGCCTTGGGTTCATGTCCCTGCTCTGCTACAGATTTCTGTGTGGCCTTGTGCATGTCTCTTAGCCGCTCAGGGCCTCGCTGTCCCAGCCATACAATGGTGATACCAGCCTGTCCTGCCCACGGGGGGTGGGGTGGGGATAAATGCAGTCATGCTTGTGAGACGCCCAGATACCACGGTGATGGTAGCCAGGTAAATGGATGGATTGTCTGGTTGGCCCCCGGCATAGCCCGGGCTGTAGAAGTTCCCACGGTTGAGCGTGAGGCTCCTCTGGCTGCTGTTCCCAGTGTGACTGGTTTTTCCCATAGAGACGGTCCTGTGGGGCATTTCCCAGTGCGCTGGCTGCACTGGGCGGGACGCCCGCCCTGCTTGTTTCACCACAGCATCGAAGGAGTGCCCTGTACCCGGGTCCCTTCACATTATAACTGCGCCAGGATTTTGGAAATGCTCCGCAGCTCCATCGCAGCAGAGGGGGGTGTGGGGAGGGTTTCCTGTGGGGCAGGGGGGAGAGACAGTGAAGTCTGTGCAGAGTTCAGGGCAGATATAATCCCTCCAGGCCGGCTGCAGCGAGGTGACCCATGTTCCTAGTGCTCACCCTCCTCCAGGGAGAAACTGCACAGCGTTGTGTGTGTCCTGGCTGTGCGCCCCCCGAATGTGCAGAAGCAGCCATCTGCCTTCCAGACTCCCCCCCCCGGGGACGGCCCAGCGATGGGGACCAGCACTGCAAGTCAGGCGGAAATTGCTAGGGCAGTTCCCATTCTGCGGGGAGCCCATTCCTGGCAGGCTGCCATTTCTGCTGAGCAGCAGCGCAGTGAGTACCGAATCTGGGCCACCTCCATGGTGCTGGGGACACAAATTCCTGTTTCTTTCAATGGACAGAATGTCTTGGGGACCTCGTGTAAATCTGGCTGCAGACAGACCATTACCTGGGGATTTGCAGGTCCTGCCGAAAATAGAGAGTTATTCCTTGCTTGGGGCTCTCCGCAAAATGCTATCTGCAAACCCTCCCCCAGCTTGTCCACTCTGGTCTTGTCGTGTCAGCCTAAGGAGGTACTTCCCACAATGCACAGTCAACCTGTGGAACTCCTTGCCAAGGGATGTTGTAAACGCCAAGACTATAACGGTTCAAAAAAAGAGCTAGACCAGTTCCTGGAGGATTGGTCCATCAATGGCTATTAGCCAAGATGGTCAGGGACGCAGGAGGACGCTCCGAGTGTCCCTAAACCTCCATCTGCCAGCAGTTGGGAGTGGACGTCAAGGGATGGATCACTTAATAAACCGCCCTGTTCTGTTCATTCCCTCTGAAGCACCTGGCATCGGCCACTGTTGGAAGACAGGATCCTGGGCTAGATGGACCATTGGTCTGACCCGGCATGGCCGTTTTGATGTCATCCCCTGTCCCTTCTGACCCATCGATGATGCCAGCTTTGACTGCCTACTTGTCTGCTTCTCTGCTGTTCTCGCCTTGGCCTCCTACACGACTGCGACCCCCTCCCTGGACTGATCTCTGAGACCACTCCCACCCCCCCCACCCCCCCGCATGTCCCTCCTCCAGGCCGGGTCATGTCTCCAGGACCTTGGCCAGCTAACAGTGGTGAGGGAGCGGGGGCAGTTGGGTATAGTCGATGTGTATTTATTCAGTTCCCCACCCTTCATATGTTTACATGGCGCCCTGTGCTGTCCGCTCCTTGGAGCTGGGCCTGTGGCTCCCTGCCCATGTAGGTGATGCCTGGCAGGCTGTGGGCCCTGCAGTAACCCAGATACTGCATTATAACAACTGCAGGGGCTCTGGCCACGTGTCCTGCCAGAGCTGAGCCTGTCGGGCTGGTGGCAAGGGGTACATCTCCACGGGCCCAGTGTTGGTACGGTGGCTATTTTCTGTTACTGGGTGAGCTCAGGGTAAGGAATAAAGATATCATGAGTCGGGATCAGGTGTTGTACAGGTGATATCGGATTATTGGTTTCAAGATTCTTGGTTTCAAGAGCTCAAGTCAAACCATCAGTGATGAACTTTTCCTGGGAAACTCACTCAGCAGCTTCCTTCCACCTGCCCTTGTACACAGTCAGGCCTCTTATTCCCCTGGGGATGTTTAATTCATTAGGAATTGGCCCCTCTGCTTTGCAGGTTGATGGCAACCCTCTCCGGGTGCTAGAACTGCCTTCTGGAGAGCCCCCGACTCCTGCCTGAGACCTAGGGTGACCACGCTTCCCTCTGCTGAACACGGGACACCCGGTAAAATTACTCGTGTTCAAGCGAGTTCAATGGCAATTGATCAGAACTATGCAGGACAAACGTTCACATTACCATCAAGTTGACTGAGCCCGTTAAAATTTACCTTCTTCTCTTTAAGGCTTTAGGGTTCACACGGGAGGGGGTGCCCCCCCACACACACACAGAGGGAGAGGTGACACATACACTCCTGTACACCTCTCTCACAGGGTGCGGGGGAGATGTGTGACCAACCAACCCGACCATCCCTGCCTGGTGCTCTCTGCCCTCCATGCCTGCCTGCCTCTCCTGGTTCCTGACACCGTATCTTCCCAAGGCAAGGTGTGTGTGTGGGGGGACAACACACAGGGTCACATGCCCCTCTCCCCCCACCCCCTCCATTTCTGCCAGGGTTCACACCAGAATGTGGCCAGCAGCAGCGTTTTGGGGAGGGAAGGGATGGGAGCTGCCTACAGCTGTGTGTGGGAGGAGTGGGGGGGGGGGGGAAAGGGATGACCTGGCTCATGTCTTTGCAGAGCTCATCTCTTCTCCCCCTGCCTTCCTGGCCCACACAGTGTCAAAGGCAGCTAGCACCTGCAGGCTGCTGCTGGCCACGGACATAACCCAGTGCCTCCTGTCCCCTGGCTACAGCGCAGGCAGGAAGGGGTTAAGCCCTAAGGAACCTGGCCAGGTGGCTCAGCAGGGGAGGGTGCCTAGGGGACGGGGTGGCCCCATGCTCCCTGGGGGCAGGACCTTGGCTGGAGGCCTGGGGGGTGAAGATGATGCTAAGCCCCTATCTGTTGTGGAGCCTGCAGGTTCAGTGTGTGAACAGGCTGGAAATTGCTCCCCCCCCCCCCCCCGAGCTTAGCTGCAGGGCGGGGAGGCTTCCCCATGCCAGCGCTGTGCGGGGCTTTGGCACACGCAGGATTAGGCTCCTCCTGGCCAGTGCCCCGGGCTGGAGGGTCTTGGGCGATCCTGGGGTGCTGGCCCAGCCAGAGGCAGTGGGGAAAGGAAGGAGCCTGCCGGCCAGGTTGTGATGAGCTGAGCTCTCCACTGGGGCTGGGAATGGGACATGCCCTGCTGGGGCGGGGGGGGGGGGATATGGAGGAGCAGTGGGATTGGGGGTGTGTGTGAAGGGGCAAAGCAGGGAGAGGACGGTGAGGGGGGAGCACGTAAAGGGCCGATGGGTGGGCAGCAGAGGCGACACGTAACTGGCTGCTGCCTGGCGCCTGCCCGCACTCACCACCCACCGCAGCTCACAGCCAGTGCCGGCTGGAAACGGGCCGGGGGCGGGGTCCTACTGGCCGAGAGCCGGCACGCGGTGGGGGGGAGCGGCCGGCCCCTCACGCTGCAGCTTGGCCCCGCCACCAGCCTGGCACACCCACCCCCCTTGTCGGCCACGGGACTCCCCGTTGTCACGGAGTTCCTGGGCGATGCTCTGGAACTGCTCCCCATGAAGTCAGTCAGGACTCTGGGGTAGTCGCCTTTCTGTGAGCAGCCTGTCTTCAGGACACACAGCTCACACAGCTTCCACCTTCCTGGGTCTGACCTCGGAGCATTCAGCATCCTCTGCCTCTCCGTGCGCTTCCCACAGCGAGTCCGCTCAGGCGGTGCTCCTGGGGAAGCCAGAGGGTCCTGCACCCCAACTTCGCAGTCAGACGTGACTCTCAGCCAGCCAGTAAAACAGAAGGTTTATTAGACGACAGGAACATGGTCTAAAACAGAGCTTGCAGGTGCAGAGAACGGGACCCCTCAGCTGGGTCCATTCTGGGGGGCAGTGAGCCAGACAACCACGTCTGCACTTCACTCCATGTCCCAGCCAGCCCCAAACTGAAAAACCCCTCCAGCCCCTCCTCCTCTGGGCTTTGTTCCTTTCCCCGGGCCAGGAGGTCACCTGATTCCTTTGTTCTCCAACCCTTCAGCTCTCACCTTGCAGGGGGGAAGGGCCCAGGCCATCAGTTGCCAGGAAACAGGGTGTTGGCCATTCTCTGTGTCCAGACTCCTGCACACACATGCCCTCTAGGGCACTGCAATGATCATACACCCTTACCCCACCACCTAGATACTTAAGAACTGCCTAGGGAAACTGAGGCACCCCCCACACTATTCAGAGGAAACATTAAGAACAGTCCCACTTCGTCACATCTCTCCCCCCTTCGAGATCGAACTGAGCGGGGTCACTTTAGCCGGTGACCTGGGGAAGTTCGAAGCCACCAACGTTCCCATGGATGCCCCAGCATCTCTCCCATTCCTTGGTAGGAGTTACACCAGGCCCTTCCAGTTTCACGCCCTCCCTTAGGTCAGGGGTGGTCGATAGCACTCGCAGGCCGCATGTGGGAAGGTTTATGCAGCCCATGCCCTTTGGCCACCCCAAGAATGTCTCCCCATTGACCATCACCTTCTACTCCCACTGGAGGTCCGGGGGGCCTGGCCCCAGGAAACTCCACACAGACATATAGGTTGGGGTCAGGGTGGGAGCCTGTCCACATCCCCAACCACCTGGCTGACGGAGTCTATGGCCTTGGGACCCAGCAAGGGAGCTAGACACCGGGGCTTTTCCGCAGGGTCCCCTTGGTTCAAATCGCCAGCCTGCTCAAAGGCAGTGAGGTGGGCATCCACACCCCCCCCTCCTTAACCAGGGGCAGCAATTTAGTCTCGAGGTTCCCTGCGGAACTGGCCCCCCGGGATCTATCCCCACTCACCCCGGGGAGGTCCCCTAGGCCTCTCCGCCCCACCACCGCCAGTTCATGCTGCTGCTGCTTCTGCAGCTCTTTCTCGGGCTCTCGCTGTCTCCCACGGTCCTCTTGCTCTCTCAGACTCAGCTGCAATCCCGTCCGTCTTGATCCCCCGATGGGGAACCCGATCATGAAGACCCTCGTCTGGTCGGGGACAGGAGTCTTGGCGATGCCTGGCTCCCGCTTCAGCTGCTCCCAGATCCTGCTATAGCCCCAGTTGGGGTCAGGAATCTGTTCCTTAGAGCGGTCATCCTCCTCCAGCTGCACGATTAACTCTGCTTTGGTGAACTTTCCAATGCTCAACCCTCTCTTTCTGCACAGGGTTACAATGTCCTTCTTAAGGAGACGGTGACAGGCCATCACTCCGCTCCTCCCAAGTTGTTGTGGACTCACAGGCCCGTGTGTTCTCAGCTCCCCACGGTTTCCAGGGAGAACCCCTAGTGTGCCAGCCCTTCTCAAGGTCACCACCTCTTTGCCAGGGTCGAGCTGCAGACTCCTCCGCCCCTGAGACTGCTCACTGCAGTCCCCAGGGGGACCCCATTACTGCACAGTACTTCTCGCTGGTCACACACTCCCAGGGGTTAACCGCCCCCGAAACCGCTCCTCTCTGAGCCTTCAGCAGGCCTGGTCCTCGGCAATCCCCCTTCGTGTTACTGCTCCCCAGTCACTTACTGCAGGAAGCGCCATCCACGGGGTGCAGTAGATCCCACCGCTGCCACCAGTTGTCACGGAGTTCCTGGGCGATGCTCTGGAACTGCTCCCCATGAAGTCAGTCAGGACTCTGGGGTAGTCGCCTTTCTGTGAGCAGCCTGTCTTCAGGACACACAGCTCACACAGCTTCCACCTTCCTGGGTCTGACCTCGGAGCATTCAGCATCCTCTGCCTCTCCGTGCGCTTCCCACAGTGAGTCCGCTCAGGCGGTGCTCCTGGGGAAGCCAGAGGGTCCTGCACCCCAACTTCGCAGTCAGACGTGACTCTCAGCCAGCCAGTAAAACAGAAGGTTTATTAGACGACAGGAACATGGTCTAAAACAGAGCTTGCAGGTGCAGAGAACGGGACCCCTCAGCTGGGTCCATTCTGGGGGGCAGTGAGCCAGACAACCACGTCTGCACTTCACTCCATGTCCCAGCCAGCCCCAAACTGAAAAACCCCTCCAGCCCCTCCTCCTCTGGGCTTTGTTCCTTTCCCGGGCCAGGGAGGTCACCTGATTCCTTTGTTCTCCAACCCTTCAGCTCTCACCTTGCAGGGGGAAGGGCCCAGGCCATCAGTTGCCAGGAAACAGGGTGTCGGCCATTCTCTGTGTCCAGACTCCTGCACACACATGCCCTCTAGGGCACTGCAATGATCATACACCCTTACCCCACCACCTAGATACTTAAGAACTGCCTAGGGAAACTGAGGCACCCCCACACTATTCAGAGGAAACATTAAGAACAGTCCCACTTCGTCACAGGGGTCCTACTGGCCGAGAGCCGGCACGCGGTGGGGGGGAGCGGCCGGCCCCTCACGCTGCAGCTTGGCCCCGCCACCAGCCTGGCACACCCACCCCCCTTGTCGGCCACGGGACTCCCCACTCACTCCTGGTGGGTGGCAGCTGGGGAGCAGGGACCCGGCCAGCAGCAGGATCCGCCAGTACTGATCGGGGGAGACAGAAAATACGGGACAATTTGCCTGTTTTTAAGAAAAAGTCGGGACCCCTGTAGGAGGGCTTAAATACGGGACTGTCCCTTTAAAACCGGGACGTCTGGTCACCCTGCTGACAGCTGCTGCTGGTCCAACTCCTCTCTGTGGCTCACTGAGGAGCCGGGTGGGGGGCTGACTGCATCTCGCGGCTGAGAGGCCAGCTGCCCCGCCACCCCTGGGTGGCTGGATTCCCTCCGGCGTCCTGCCGCGGAGCTGGCTGCTCCCCAGCCCTGGGGCTCTTCGGCGGGACAGGCCCCCTTGGGCCAGAGGAATCTCGGGGCCGCTCAGATTCCCTGGGAAG